AAGAGAAACAACTTAGAACTAAGGAGAAATTTCCTGACTGTTAGAACAATGAATCAATGGAACAACTTGCCTCCAGAAATTGTAAATGCCCCAACACTGGAAGTCTTTAAGAAGAGATTGGATAACCATTTGTCTGAAGTGGCGTAAGGCTTTCTGCCTAAGCAAGGGGTTGGACTAGAAGACTTCCAAGGTCCCTTCCAACTCTGCTATTCTATTTCTAAGGTGATGTAAAGCTGTGTTTTATATTTATGACCGTTGCAGCAATTCCATGCTTACGTGATCAAAATTCAGATGCTTGGCATATGACTCATATTTATGAACCTTGCTGTGTTCCCACAGTTGCAATGGTGTCCCCATTTGCCTCCTTTTGACAAGGAAAACTCCATGGGGAAACCAGAGACACTTTACGACCATGTTACTAGCTTAACAGCTTCAGGGATTCCCTTAAACAACTACGGCAAGGAAGGTGGTCAAATGAGGCAAGACTTGCTTAACAATGTTCTCGCTCAGCAACAAAAATTGTGGTCGTAAGTCAAGGCCTATCTGCAATCAACCTTAGATGGAATTAAGAGTGTTTGAGTTCAATCATTAACGTTCCAGAGCTGGTTCCTGGCTTCCATTCATAAAGAATGGATGAAAATGTCTATAGAACAGTGAGGAAAAAGGAAAACTACAACTTTCAAAATTTGAAATCGGCATTACAAGTTGGATTGTTTGTGCATTGTTTTGGAGTGGTACGGTGGCCTAGAGGAGAAGCTCTTGCCTCACAATCAGAAGGCTGTGAGTTTGATCCTAGGTAGAGATGGATGGATGGATGGATGGTTGGTTAGTTGGTTGGGATTGATGGATGGATGGTACGGTGGCCTAGAGGTGGAGCTCTCATCTCACAATCAGGAGGCTGTGAGTTCGATCCTAGGTAGAGATAGATGGATGGTTGGTTGGTTGGGGGGGATGGATGGATGGATTGATGGTACAGTGGCCTAGAGGTGGAGCTCTCATCTCACAATTAGGAGGCTGTGAGTTCAATCCTAGGTAGAGATGGATGGATNTGAGCCGGTGAGATTTGAACAGCCGAACTGCAGAACTGCAGTCAGCTGAAGTAGCCTGCAGTGCTGCATTTAACCACTGTGGCACCTCGGAAGAGGAAGGGCAGGAGAAAGGAGGGGAGAGGAGGAGAGGAAGGGGAGGAGAAGCAGAAGGAGAAGAATGAGAAGGAGGAGGAGAAGGAGAAGGAGAAAAGAGGAAGGGCAGGAGAAAGGAGAGGAGAGACAATTCAACTTACCACAACCCCAAACTGTTCCGACTCACAGAGATCATCATATTCGTTCTTCAGTTCAGCTAAGGCATTAAGTTCTTTTTGTTCAGGGAGATTTTTAACCAAGTTCTAATGTGAGAAACAGAAATTAGAGATTACTGCTCTTCTCTCTCTCAGAAAGGAAGACAACAATTAATGGTTTTCACACTGTCCCACACATCTATCTCCCAGCGTACAATAGTGTCCAATCGTATCAAAGAGTGATTTGCGGTAGTTAAAAAGACTGTGTCTCTTTAATGTCCTAAACTTGCAAAATGCATTATAACTTCAAATGATTATTTTGATATCCATTGAGCAATTACTTTTTCATGAAAAGCAGTCCCCCCCCCCCCCTAATTCACAGGCAGGCAATCCCCAGATATTATTCATTGTTTGGGAATTATTTCAATCACTACCCGTTCAATATATTGAAAACATTTCTGCTGAGTTTTTAGCAAAGGGTTGTGTATGCCCTGGCTCCAAATATAATGAGGTGATCCTATAACCTTGAAATATGAGCCTGTGGTTTCTTTCCATATATTCATGACAGCGTCCATTCCACTCGTGGGCGTGAAAGAGGGGCTTTGGTATGAATCATGAAATTACATTTCCCATTCAGCCTTTCTGAAGAATGGTTCGATAAAGCCTTACATCAAAACAATTGCAAATTATACAACAGGCATCTTTTTTTCCAGATTCTGGAACCATCGCTGATCAAATTCTTCTCCAGGCAGACGTTGTTGCTGTTGTGATTGTTATGCCACAACATAGAATAGAATGGTAGAGTTGGAAAGGACCTTGGAGGTCTTCTAGTGCCACCCCCTGCCTAGGCAAGAAACCCTACACCACTTCAGACAAAAGATTATCCAACATCATCTTAAAAATTTCCAGTGTTGGAGCATTCACAACTTCTGGAGGCAAGAAGGATTGTAGAACCTGCCAAAGTGCAATATTTACCATGGATGGCAAGCACTATGTATAAACTGAAAATGAGAGAAAGCTTCACTACAGAAGAGGAAGGTAAAGAAAGAAGGTTCAATGAATACAGAAACAGAGGAGGGTCAACATTCAATGTCAGAACTAAGTTAAAGACTTTTCAGTGGACACTTTTGCACCCAATTGGAATTATTACAAACTTTTGAAAGCCTCTCGTGGTAGAAGATGTCAGCTCTTCAATAATTCTTATTTCTCTGGCCAGAATGTTCTCACTCCCACCTCTTAACAGATGGGAAGCATAACAATTAAATGAAAGCTATCTATCTACATAAAAATGGCTGTGTGTGTGTGTTTGTGTGTGTGTTCCAGCATAACTCTGAAATGCCTTGAGCAATTTCAACCAAACTTGGTACACAGAGGACTTACTCTCTGGAAACAAATATTGGAGGGGGGGGGTTAAGACACTCCTAATACCCCTTGGGGGGGTGTTCTGTTAAGATAAAGCCTGTTGTACCTTAAAAGGGCTTCTACTGTACTGCCTTAAAATGGCTCCTACTGTGCAGCGCAATGGAGTTGCCATGGTAACAGCTTCACAGTACTCCACAGGGACATTTTCCTCCTATAATTAAATACCCGGGCAATGTCGGGTTATCGGCTAGTTGTTAATATAATGCTCTAACAGGGCTAAAGTAAAAAAAAACCCTCCTTATGATTTTCAAAGGAAAATGTATGTTGACCTCACACGATGTGGTCGACGGGAAATATTCAAAAGGGAAACATTCATCTGCGCCCACTGACTGCTACAGCAGAGAAATCTGAGTGGCAATTCTAAGCTGTCTGTTATTTCCATGAAATAGTGCATTGCTTAGCATATATATATGCTGAAAGCATTTTTGTGGGGTGCATAAGCTGTGAGAGTATAAGGAGAAACTTAAAATAAAACACATGCCACATCAAATAGCTTGGAAGCTGGATCTGAGGTCGCTTTTAATGTATCACTGACTGGTTTTTCTGTTCCCTACACACCAGGCAGAGTGAAATCATTTTATCAATACACGGGGGCATGGTGTGAACGCAATTCGTCAACACCTGTCCCATCAGGACACCGTGAGCTCTTTCACTCTCACAAAACTGAAAGGGAAATAATAATAATTTATATTGGCAGCCAACGTTCATTAGCAGAATTTCACCAACTGTCAGCTGCTTTCAAGCCTCCTTCTCTCTCTTACTGCTGGGAAGACAGTTACGGGATCCGTGATACCCAAAGACGAAACCGACTTAAGAAATTAACAACCGTAGATTCAATGATGGGTGTTTGAGTTCAGTAATGGCAGATAGAAACCCCTGACTGGACATCATCCATTCAATGACTTTTGTCAAATACAGTTCCAATATCTCAGGGGTTGCCACAAGGAAGAGGGAGTCAAGCTATTCTCCAAAGCACCTGAGGGCAGGGCAAGAAGCAATGGGTGAAAACTAATCAAGAAGAGAAACAACTTAGAACTAAGGAGAAATTTCCTGACTGTTAGAACAATGAATCAATGGAACAACTTGCCTCCAGAANCTGTGGGGGCGATATGCTGACTCTGTAAACCGCTTAGAGAGGGCTGAAAGCCCTATGAAGCAGTATATAAGTCTAACTGCTATTGCTATTGCTACGGTACGATAAACAGGATTTTAAAATGATTGTGAATCAACATGTATATTTGTAAATGTGGTCCAGGGATAAAATTCAGCAGGTTCTGGAGAACCGGTAAAGGAAACTTTGAATAGTTCAGAGAACTGTCAAATACCACCCCTGGCTGGCCCCAGAGTGGGGTGGGAATGGAGATTTTGCAGTATGCTCCCCCTGCCATGCTCATCCAGCCAGACCCAGAAGAACCGGTAGTAAAAAAAAAAAGGTTCACCAACAAAAGGGTGCCCGACAAAAGCAAGCCCGACGAAACCATGGTGACAAAACCGCGAGTTCTAAACCGCACCGACGAATGAGCGCTGAAGCGCACCGACAACAGCGCACTGACAGAAGCGTACTCTAAACCTAACCCTAACCCTAACCCTAAACCTAACCCTGAGTCTAACCCTTATCTTAACTTAAATCGCGCTTCTGTTGGCGTGCTCTTGTCGGCATGCTGTCGGCGCATTGATGATGTTGCGGTTTTTGCGCCACGGTTTTGTCGGCACGCTTTTGTCGTGCACGCATTTGTCGGGTCACAAAAAAAATTGAATTTCACCACTGATGTGGTCCTATTGTTCCCTGCTGGGAACATCTCATCCATGTGCATCAGCTGGATTTCTCCCTCCCCATTTTTAAGGATTAGCATCATTGAAGGTTTTCAGCATATTACTTTGGACATAAATCGGAATTTTAAACACTCCTCCGACGTTAAAGCATATAATTTTGACATTGGATGCAAACCCCACAACCAGCTTGAGATGTTCACACAGCTTCATAAGAGAGTTAAATTTGATTCAAAGAAAATGGCATCGTAACTTACCTGAATTAATGCTTCACTTAGTTTTGCTTCATCCACTTCTAATATAATGTGCTTTATTTCTTCGTAAGGCATGCGGAAAGATCCCAGGAAAATAGCTGAAATGACACACCATCATAATTTGAGAGAGGACATTAAATGAATGCCTCTTGTATATTTTATGGTGAAACGCATGGATTTTATCGACTTGTAATCTGAAGACAGGTTTATACCTATTTTATGCATTGTACTGCATTGTATGAAATAAAACACCATTTTATACAATGAAGTTGTGGTGTGAAGGATAAAAATATAACCTAGAAATGTAGGCAACATGGTACAAGTCTGGGGACAGATATACAATATCTGAAAATACTGATTTTGTGTTGTGTGTGGGTGTGATACCTTGATATTCAACTGTTTTTAAAATGATCCAATTTGGCACTCAACACGTGTTGACGTTTGTTCCAATACTCGTTGTTTGTTTAGTAGTAAAAGCACAAGCTGGAACATATTGCTGTTAGCTTGTGACTTTCTTACATTATTTATTGTGGAAAAAATTGTTTGGTACTCACCATTTTGGGTACTCATCACATCCCCTGGAACCAGTTAATGATTAGTACCAAAGTACTCCCTCCCTGTCTCTTTCTGTGTATAATGTTAATACAGTTAAGTTCTAACACTTTAATTCTTAGATTCATGAAAGAAAACACCACTATCAAACTGAACCCAGATCCTAATGAAGGAACAGCCAATCAAAACAGAGCTTTGTTACATATCTCTTGTCATCCATTTCTGCTGAAGAAATGGTATCTCCACAGGGTACTGCTAATGAAAACAAGGGCCGAGAAGACAATATAATCCATTCCTATAATAATTTACTTCTAAATATTAAATGATAAATCTATTCTTTATATTATTTTTGAAAAGGCTGAAGGGAAAAAAAAATATTCAAATGAGCCCTGGATAAAATGACTATATTACATACACAAATTTTGGGCAGTCTTCCCATCCAATATTCTTAATTCTTTCACTTTCTTCTTGGGCATCGTTATCTTCTTCTCCTCCACATTCTCCACTGTCTTTTTCACTACAAAGCAAAAAATAAAAAATAAAAAAAAATCCTTGATTATTTACATACACAGAAACCTTTAAAATGCCAGAGTTGGTTTTCTACATTTTCTTAAGATCTTGCTTAATTAAAAGAACAAAAAAAATATCAAGTGAATGCGCATGTTAAAAAGAATGGGATTAAGACCCACAAAGAGTAACATTTGAATTTTGTTTGTGGGATTGAAAAGATGATTTTGATAAGGCTGGGCTACAGTTGTGCAACCACAATGTTCACAATAGAATCCCTTATGCCACAAGGCTCGAAACTTTGGGCTTCGACAACCTGGAACTACGCTGCCTACAGTCTGACATAAGCATAGTACACAAAATTGTCTGCTACAACATCCTACCTATCAATGTTTTCTTCGGCTTCAACCTCAATAATATGCAGGGAAACAATAGATACAAACTCAAGATAAACCGTTTCAAACTTGACTGCAGAAAATATGACTTCAGCCACAGAG